CCCGGCCGCCCCGCCCTCGCAGACCCTCGGGGAACGCCCCTCCCCCGGTTACGGCGGAGGGGAAAGCCGCCGGCGACTCGACTGGGGAGTCTCTAAGGACCCAGCAACGACAAAAGTGCGCACACCCGCCCCTCCTCTCCATTAGTGGCCCTTCCCTTGGGAGGCCGCGCTTGCCCAGGCTCTGGGATGCCAATCACCCTTTCCCTCCTGCACCTTCGACCTCTCCCGCTGGATCTCTCACCTTGGTCACCGTACTACAGGACTAAATCGCAAAGATGGCCCACTCAAAACCAAACAAGAACCAGAACCACCCTTGACCCGTGCTCCCTGTCGGGCCACTGACCTCCCTCCTCCTGCGGCCGGTAGCTGCCTGCTCCCCACGTTAGGAGGTGCTCGCTGTGGCCTTCACCCAGCTCTCCCTGGGTGGGTCACTAGAGGTCGAGGTTGTGCAGTCAGACGCCCTCTTAGACGTCCTCACGTCCCTCACCCCTTTGCAGCATGTGATACTTCAAATGCCCATCTTCCCTGGGTTCCAGACTTGCCTCTTGCCTTCTGGCCCTTAAGTGTCAGGGTTTCCAAAGTTCTCTCTTCAGTTTCCTCCCTTTTTTCTCTGTATATTCTCTCTCTCTCTCTCTCTCTCTCTCTCTCAGCAATGCATCTCATCTTATCACTTCAGTAGGTAAACCTGCCATCCCACCATAAACATTACCAGTGAGCACCAGTTCTGCATTAACCATCAAACATCTTCATTTCTGTTCTGCTGTATTCCATAGTCAACACAGCACATACTATGTGCTAAGCACTATCAACAAGCAGGAATTATGTGCTAAGCACTGTCCTGGGTGTGGGGAAATGAGTGACCAAAATAAAAATCCCCGCTTTAAAATCAGCAAGCCCCATATTTCCCTCCCAGACTTGCCCATCTTCCGCTGTTTTCTCTTATAGTACCATTCTCCTAGGCTCAAAGCCTGATTTCCATCCCTCCTATGTCTCCCATCCAACAAGTTCCAAATCCGCTCAAGACTTTCCAGTAGCCAGTAAATACAGCCCTTGCTTTCTTCCCCCTTTATGTATTTTTGAGTTAGGATCTCACTCTGTCACTCTACTGGAGTTCAGTGGCACAATCATGGCTCACCACAGCCTCAAACTCCTGGGATCCTTCTGCCTCGGCCTCCCAAATAGCTGGGACTACAGGCGAGTGCTACCGCATCCAGCTACTTTTTTTTTCCTAGAGACAAAGTCTCACTATGTTGCCCAGGCTGGTCTGGAACTCCTGCCTCAAGCAGTCCTCCCACTTTGGCCTCCCAAAGTGCTGGAATTACAGGCACCAGCCACCATGCCTGTCTTCTTCATTTAGAAGACCCCAATTCAAGCCCTCATCACTCATTGCCTGGTTTTCTGTAAGAAGCAGAGAGATCTCCTGTCTCCAGTTTGCCACACTCTGATCTCTCCTACGCGTAGCAATCAGCTAATCTTCAGAAATCACAGCCCCTTTAAAACATTCAGTATCTCCTGGATAAAAATCCAGCCTCCCAAACATGGCTTCCACACTCTGACATGTCCTCTCTTGCAACTGTGTCTCCCAACATTATTGTTTGGATCCTCACCTCAGTCAGACTTTCCAAACTTTGCACCTTTCCTGAAACTTCTCGTCCACTGGGAAATTCTTCACCTTCACACTCACCTCTGCATTGGGTCAAAGCCACCAACGGGGGTTATTAGTGCTGTTCACCAAGTGTTTCTAGCTCTCTGCCAGAAGGGCACTGGCTGGGATGGCACTACTTCCTTTTTGATATTAGATGTGGCCATATGGCTAGCTGTAGCCAAGAAAATCTCACAGAGGGTACACACATCACTTCCACATAGTAGTACAAATAAGGACGCAGTGCACAATTCTCATGTTCTCTTCTGAGATTAAACCTTTGTCACTTGTGACTCTAAGTGACTACAAGGAGCAGAACCCTGCTGATGTGTGTTGCATATGAGTATGAATGAGGAGGCAGCTCTGGGGATGTTAAGCCACCGAGAGTTGAGGATTGTTCGTTACTGCAGCCAAGCTAGCCATCCTGACTGATATACTACCTCCTTCCTGAAATAGTTCTACTCTCTAAACCAGAACTAAGCATGTTTGTACCTCCCTCATGGAAATTGCTACCTTTTCATTGCATTTTTTTTTTCATTTGTGTCTTACCCACTTTTGATTGCTTCAAGCTTAGCACAATGGCTAGCACAATACATGGGTCAATTTAATTAAAAGGAAAATAAATCTGTCACCTTACATCATAGAAAGCATTCCAAAGCTAAAGAGATCTCAAAAAATAATTTTTACTTTTGGCACAACACTCTTCAATTAGTGTGAATGATTGAAAGTAAGCAGGATCTGATGTGACATAAACGAGATGGCACTCCTGGCACAGAACCTGCTATGTTGCTGTCAAAGGAGTGACTCACATCGTTTCTCAAGTTCCTCGAGCATCATCTTTTATCTCAAAGAGCTCAGCACTCATCATCTGAATGCAATACAGATGCAATGCACTGACTGCAAACCCAGACGAAGAGAAAATGATTCAGGCCAAGACCCTTTCCCTAGGATAATTGTATCTCAATGACTTTTTTTTTTTTTTGAGTTGAGGTCTCACTCTGTCGCCCAGGCCCCAGTAGCTGGGACTGTATGTGCACACACCACCATACCAGGCTAGTGTGTGTGTGTGTGTGTGTGTGTGTGTGTGTGTGTGTGTGTACAGACAGTGTCTCACTATGTTGCCCAGGCGGTCTCCAGCTCCTGGCCTCAAGTCAACCTCCTGCCTCGGCCTCCCAAAATGCTGGAATTACAGACGTGAGCCACTGCGCCTAGCACAATGACTTATTAGATGTACCCTATGTGCATTTCTGTGACAGAGGAAGAAGTGTAACAAGATATTATTCCACTAAACCCATAAACCCATTATATTAATCCTCATAAATTATGATAGGTGAGGTAAGTGCTTTTGTCCCCAAATTATAAGTGAAAAGCAGACATTCTAAAGAATATAGCTAGATTCTCACACTCATAAGGATCTAACTTAAACAGGATTTCTGCCTGAGGCCTGTGTCGTTTCTCTGCTATAGAAAGAGTGACTCTTGACCAAATTGCCCATGGTGCCTTCCTCACAGCCCCCGCCATGCTCTCTCCCTACACCCTCTCTGTCTACAAACTCCAAAGTCCTTCTCTTCCTGACCTCAGGACTGCCTGCTGGGGAAATCACATCTGTGTCCATGGGACTCCCTCAAGGGCCTCTTAAACAAGCCCCCCCACCATGCCCTTGGGCCAGGGCCACTTGTAGGGTATGCAAGTGTGGACTCAATCACTGGCTAAAAGACACTGGCTGAAGCTGGTGATAATGCGGGAGCCAGTGGGTCACGTCAGGCAGACCTCACCCAAGTGTAAAATCACCAGGGCTCTCCCACTGCCCAAGACAGTGAGACCAGTGGGTAGACCCTGCCGGAGCAGCTCCTGCCAGGTCTGCAGACAACTCACACTCATTCAAGGAGGAAAAAAGGTCTGCAAACAGCAAGAGACATGGGAGAGGTAAAGAATGAACAGAATACAGCAGAATGAACAGAATACATCACGAATGCACTTAAAGCTTCTGGAACAACCTGGTTTATACATTCACTGGTACCACTTTTGTGCTGGTCCAGCCCTACCACTTCCCTGTAGAAGGTGCTTTGTAGGGGAAAACACTTTCTTTTTTTTTTGAGTTGGAATCTCACTCGGTCGCCCAGGCTGGAGTGCAGTGGCTGCTTCCGGCCACCACAACCTCGGCCTGCTGGGCTCCGGCGATCCTTCCACCTCAGCCTTCCAAGTAGCCGGAATTACAGGCGTGCCGGCTGAGTTTTTGATTTATTGTAGAGATGAGGTCTCGATGCCCAGGCGGGTCCCGAACCCGCAGGCTCAGGCAATCCACTCATCTCAGTCTCCCAAGGCACGGGATTACAGGCTGAGCCACCGAGCCTCTGGAAAACACTTTCTAAACGCCAGTTGTTTAGTATCCTTGAGGTAATTCTGCCTGTTTCCTCACAGGCTCTGCCTACAGAAGCTGCCCCATTTGCCCGCAGCCCTTCCTACCTCACTCCACCTCTTTGCCTCCCTCCCCCTAATGTGAGATCCAAATTCAGTGGAAGTATCATGTCTGTGACACCTTCTCCAGTCATTGTTAATCTCTTCTTCCTCAATTCTCCCAGAAATCACTACACACCTTTAGGGTTTATAGTACAGTATTTTGATAATCCTGCTGCCTGTAGGAGCTCTACAAATGCTGTCGTGAGAAACAGCGAGCAAGAACAGTCCCTGAAGCTGGGCTCCGTGGCTCAGCCTGTAATCCCGCGCCTTTGGGAGGCTGAGGTGAGTGGATTGCCTGAGCCCGCGGGTTCGAGACCCGCCTGGGCAACTTGGCGAGACCTCATCTCTACAATAAATCAAAAGAAAATGAGCAAGTCGTGGTAGCGCGTGCCTGTAGTTCCAGCTACTTGGAAGGCTGAGGCGGAAGGATCGCTGGAGCCCAGCAGGTCGAGGCTGCGGTGGCCGGGAGCGGTCACTGCACTCCAGTCTGGGTGACAGAGTGAGACTCCAACTCAAAAA